TCGTCGCATAGTACCTCTTAAGCCATTTGTTGTTAAATTAAAGCGAAAAAAAATACGTATCCAATATTTTTCTATTATCTGACTGACGGACTAAATCGAATCTTTTTTTTAACCCATTCGTTATACCTATTGGCTAACAGCACTTATAATATTAAAAATTCATATTTGTCATTAATTAAAAGGGTGTTTTTTGCAACGACTTCTTTGTTTTTTTGTAATGAATATGGGCGACTCTGGCCACATTTTTTTAATAAATGTGATGTTAGCCAATTTTGATTTCTGGCCCTTATATTTATAATGTGTTCATAACACATACATGTCTCCTAAGGGATTTTCATCACAACCTTTTGCTCTGATCCAGAACCACTATCTATCAAATTAAATTAGTCAATATAAACACCAGATTACAATAAAAAAAACATTTATTTTTGTTACAATTAAGTGCCATGGATAAATTACATAATACAGGTGTCACAAAATCATCATGTTAATCACAATAGAAAATTTAAGATAAGATTTTGACTATGAATCAGACTAAAAATACTTTAGTCTGATTCATAGTCAAAATCTGTTTCTAAATATTCTACACCTGATAACAATGACAAGGAATCATCAGAGTCACTCTCTTCACTACTGTCTGCACCAACAGATATAATAAATTTTTCAAGTTCGTTTTCAACAATGCCATCTTTTAATTTGTAATCATTTTCGACATTTAAAACATGATCAGTGTATTTCTTCCAGTCACTAGGGGTAATTAAGTTAAAACACTCTATTATTAAGTTTTCCATTTCCTTTCCTGGTATTCCAATGTTTCTGCTTGCAATTTTTCTTTTTGCTTGACTCCAAACCATCTCTATTGGGTTTAAGTCACAATGATACGGTGGCAGCAATAAAAGTTCATGATTATGTTCTTTTAAAATCTCTTCAGCTTCATATACAGGCAATGTTTTCTTATCATTAACCAAACACATTAACTCTGCCTTTGTCTGATATTCCTCAAAATGTATTCCATTATTTACAAGCCATTTACGGATATTTGCTTTGGTATTAGACATTATAGGCGGTTTATTGATTTGTTTTATATGGTAGCTGGCATTATCCATAACAATTACACTGGGCTTACTTAAATTTGGTATTAATTTTTCTCTGACCCATTTCATAAAGTTCGATGAGTTCATATCATCATGATAATCAGCAGATTTGGATTTACTACTGAACACTAATAATGCACCAGGCACAAAACCTTCCTCAGATCCAGCATGCACAACAATATGCCGTTTTCCAGAGGATATCTTTGTAGTGACACCAGTTGTTGAAGGTCCTTGCCAAGACTTTTTAACTTTATAATTCTGATGTACATAAGTTTCATCAAGGTACACAATTTGCTTTCCTTCGTTTCGTTTTATATTTATTTCTCTCAAATACTTGTGCCTCCATGCAGAAATCTGGTATTTTTCTATAAGCATAGAACGTTCATTTTCATTGCTTTTAAAAGAAAATCCATTCTTAAGCATAATTTTTCGTAAAGTCTCACGGCTACCACTGAATCCTATTGCATCTTTTAATTCATTGTGAAGGCTTCTTAATGTTGGAACAATTTTTTTCACACAGTAAAATTCATTTACTTTATTCCGAATTGCACTTAAATCAAAATTATCTAAAGCAGACACTGTTGGTTGATGAGGTCGTTTTTTCCCAGGAGTGTCCCATTTTCCTTTATTAATTAATGCTTCATTTTTTATCCTTCTTAGTGTCCTTATACTTACATCTATAAAAGATTAAACACTTTGAAACAAAGATATGTTAAATGTATTTAAAAGCAAATAATGATAGACACATACATCAAAATAATTTAAATACCTATTCAACTATGAATGCAATTTATGTTTAATTTAGTTAAGTTTATGTGCATATTTAGCATGTATAACAATTACATGGTTTGATTAGTTTCATGAATTCTGTGAATTTCCTTGTTAAACAAAACATTCTTATGACATCATTGGATGTCAACAATAAAAACCAATACATCATAAAAAACCTATGTAAATATTATAGGAATACTATCAATCTATCTTAAATCAAAACAAGAAAAGAGACCTGTCATTGAAGAAATTTTTTGTAAGTACTGCGTTTCCGAATTCAGCATTTCTTGTTTTTCTAAAGTTTTTATTGCATTTATCTCCTCCATTATTGGTTGAATATCACCATCACAGTTATCTGAAATAGAGCAATATTTTATAAAAAATATCTGTTTAGTTAATTACAGAAAATTAAAACGAAAGTATCAAAATTATAATACAAAACTAACCTAAAAAAGATACAACTTTATCTAATCGTTGTAATTTCTCCATGAAATTTTTATTTAATTCAGTTTTCACTTCAGTAAACTTGTCAATCATGATGGAAAGAAGTTTCCTCGATGAACTTTTTATCGGCTTCGACATAATTTTTAACCAAAAACACAAGTTCAAATTCGCAAAAACAACAAAATTCAATATTCTTGAATTGTCTAACGTAGTGTCAAACTGACAGTTCTATGTTGTTGCCATATGAAAACGGAAAAATAGGTGGTGTCACGTTTCGCTTGCCAAACTCTAGTGTTGCTTTAGTGGTTGTTTGTTTACATCAAAGAGAATTTTATATTTATATATGTTTACATTTCTCTTTATTTTTTGCAAGTGTTTTGTTTGTTTTAATATGACGAAAAGTACTTAGCAAATCTTTATGAAACTCTTGAGTGTCTATATTTTTTATTTAGTGCGACGATTAGTCTAATGAAGAGGACAATACTTGGTTATATTAAGTAAAATGCGACGTAATTGAAACATGCACTTACGTATTTAATTCTACTGTACTTTCACTTGATGCATGGGTGAATCCAACCTTAGCAAGCGGTTGCAGTCTTAGATCTACAACTGAATAGGTATAGGTACAGTCAACATATCAGGCTACAAGTCTATCAAATATATATTAAATCTTAACTATCTATGTCAAAGTTCAGAATCAATTGCAATAACCTGATGCTTTATGTATATGATATTTTGTAAAAAGCATTTGCTAATAAGTTAATTCTTTATATAAAGACCATTTATAATGAAAGATATCATTGCTTACTGAACCATAAATCCCTGTTAAAACTGATTTAAACTGTACTTTACAGCTTTCCAAGTACTTCTTCCGATAGGTCAGAGGAAGCAGTGATATCTGTAGATGTATCAAGAGATGTTCTAGTTGATTCATTTAATGAAATGACAGATCCAACAATACCACCAGAAGTAATAAAGTAAGTAATAAATTAGCTTTTACAATTTTTTAATATCTTACATTAATAAACAAGGTTTAAAATTGGAGTAAATTTTCACTGAGACTGCACTTGGTATTACTTAAAATTCATATTACTGTACAGAGACTTAGCAAAAGTTTACCTAGTATGAGGTTCTACAGGAGAAATAGCTTATGTATATTAGTTATGAATGTATATATGTATATAATGACGTCGCTGTGATATGTACACAAAATAGATGCATTGAGTTCAATTTATTAATTTTGCTTCCACTACCACATTGAGCTACACCTGTAATGATAGTTACAAGTTATAAAATAAATTATGATTAAAAGATATCAATAAAACCAGAACAATGCCATCTAACTATCAATTAAGCTAAGAATAGCGCCATCTAAAAATTTAATAATCAATAGGTATATTTTTATGACTAATCTGACCTTTGACCCACAGTGACGTCACACAATGGTGGGACATGTTTCAAGTCATGTGGCACACAGAGAAAAAATTTTGGTTTTAAGACTCAGGATCAGATTCTCTAAGTTTATAACTATGTAAATTTTAGTTTTTGTGCAATTTCGTGACTTATTTTTACCAAACACTAGAATTGCAATTTTAGCATAAATTTACTCTGACACTAAACCATGTTTATTAATAGCCCTGCTAAAGTTTCGGGACAGCATGTCCTAGTTTGAAACGTTGCATTACAGTCCTATAATTCTTACAACAAGATATTGGACTTGTAGATTTAGAACAAAATTATGCATACTGATATTAAATAGAGTGTAAATTTTGTGAGTTTATATGTATGCATAGGCTAATCTCCAAAACCATTCCCTCGAAACTCCAACCAAGAACAAATTCAACTACAACTACCAATTTTACATCATGAGAATGAATCATGCACAGTAGTAGAGAAATAATTTGCCATTGATTTATTTGTAGTATCCCAAACCATTCAAATTAAAACTTATTATCTATATTTGACTATAATGAGTAATTATAATCAAATATAGCTTTTTTTTTCGAAAAATTATATGATATGTTTCTGAGACCTAACGGGTTTTTGCCTACACTGTTAATGCCCAAACAAAATGGACTCACATTCACCTTGATTTTACATCTTAAATCTTGTCTTAACTGAGATGCATTGTTATTTCATTATTTATTCTTACATCTATACTTTAAGTATGTTTCATCAACATAATAATTCTTATCAAATCCTGTGCCTGTGTTTTAAGATATTCAAGATCAAAGATGAAAAAAGTTTTCACCATCACCTTCTTATCTCAAAAAACGATTAAGTGCACAAAAAATGTGTGTCACTAATATAATCTGTATTACAAATTTGACAGTTTATTTGCATCGAAATAGGCTTCGAAACTACTATAACGATTTTAAAATTGTTCTATCTATTTGAATCCAGTGGCGGACTAACCCCGTCGGGGGCCCGGGGCGGCATCAGGCCCGGACCTACTGCTAAGACGCCTGCTAAAACTACGAAACTAAACATAAAAATGAAGGCAGTACAACCCTAATTTATGATTTGTCAAGAGAACTTGCGGCCATTTGGAGCCCCCCCAGGACAAGAGGCCCAGGGCGGACCGCCTTATCCTCCCCCCTCCCCTCCCCATTACATCATACAGTGACGTAGGCTATAATTTAAGAAGCACAAGTTGCAGAAAATGGCTATTATTTCCTAAAAGTCAAGATAATGCCGTAAAACCGATTAACCTTTGACCTTGAATAACTTAACACACACAAGAGATATGAGAATTAAGAATGAACATTTAAAATGATAAAATACTTTTTGTGCTGTCAAATGGGCTGCAAACAATAATACAATATTATTAATATTTCCAGAGTAACAGAAGGGCAGCCTGACAATGATGATTCAACTAAATTGACACTGGCTTATGAGAATCTTTATGAATTACCCAGGACCATAGTTGAGAGGTTTTCTGACTATATCAAATATCTAGATATCAGTCACAATAAAATAACGTAAGTTATAAAAGTGAAATAGTAAAGGTTTTTTTTCTGGTAGTGTTTAATATACTATTACCGATAATCACACTTTTATGCTTATTATATTTTTAATATATGTTGCTACAAATATTGGAAAATTATATTTTTGTTATTTGTCAAAAACTGTCGGCAAATAATTAAATTTAAGATTTTGTTAACTTTTTAACCATAGGTATATTTAAATTGCTGTCGGATCTCCTATTATATCAATGTGCTTAAATTCTTTGTTGTTTTTCAGATGTCTGGATGCTCTGGTCCATTTCAAACATTTAACATCACTCATAGCTGACCACAATCCCATCACAGAAAATTGTTTTTTACCACCATTGCCAAAATTAGATCTACTATGGTAAGTAAACTGTGTATATAAAGACTTCGTATCTTTTTGAACGCGGAAGTAGTAATAATTAAAAATGCTAGTGGCCAGCACCTACCTATAGTAATGTGCACGGACGTTACAGTACCTACTAGCCACTCCACCCCTCCCGCTTCACCGCACCGCACCTCCAGGCAGATCCTCTGAGTATCGCTAGCACCACCATTGCGTATGTCTGTCGGTGCTGGTCGCTAGTATTGTTTCCATATTTGTTGTGATTTTTTTTTTCAATCAACTCCCAACTCGGCGGAAAGTCATGCCGAGTTAATATGCCTATAGTTATTATTTCTTTGCCGACGGTACCTGTTGATCGTTGCAGTAAATATAGTAACCGTATCGTGCTTATTTTCTTGCGCGGTACTTAGAAAGATCTTTGTGCATTAACCGATTCAAAAATGCTTTCTATAGATTTATTTTCTAGAGAATAATTTTCCAAAATTGTGTAACATTTCAAATCATGTAAATTTTACTATCTACTACTCTCCGAAAGTTCTATATTTCAACTCCTATAAAGAAATCGGTTATATTGTAACAGATAGTTAACACACCACAGTAAAATTTCAGGTTGAACCACTGTAAAATCTCATCGCTGTTCCCGTGGGTCAGCAAGTTGAAGGAGTCTTGTCCTAATTTACAACATCTATGTTTGATGGGGAATCCCGCCGCACCCAGTTACTTCAATGGTGGCACGTTTTACGAGTATCTACAGTACAGGTAGGTAGACGATTTATTTTAAATCGATAAATACAAAAATAAACTGCACGTAAGCAAATCGCCATATATCAGTTTCTAAGGTTTTGTTGACGTTTTAACTATTGTAATCTAAATTTTAAAAATAATGTACTTTCAAAAGTCTCGCGTAGTCTCGAATATCTCAACGATAAATGAACAATTTTAACTTTTTAAGGAATCTTGCTCATGGTATGTGTAAGACAAACAATCAATATACCCAAGGTCACTTTCGTTTTTACCCTCGCTATAAATTTGGATTAATATTTATTTATATTCATTAAAAAATAGCCATAATCTTAACCTTAAGAACTGATATATGAAATGTTCAAGGCTCTGTTTCTATACATCAAGGGCTTGTCCAAGCTATAATCCAAGCTGGTTTTTTTTACAGGCTCTTCGTCATCTCCCAATTTCCATCACTGAATCACCTGGACGATAGAAAAGTCACAGAAGACCAGAGAGCGGAAGCCCAACGGCTGTACAAAAGACCGTTCTTCGAGAGGATCATAAAACCTGGCTCAGGAAGTTTCAGCCAACTGGTTCACTCGTCAGTCACTTGGAGTGGATTCCAGAACAAACTGACTACGTTACTGGGCAAAGATAAGCCGAACGATAGAAATCTTATGATATGAGTATTAAATAGACCTAGCCGAGTGGGTCTACCGCGTGAATACTTCATACAGCTGTGATACAACCTTAATCTCATTGAACCCAATTTCATGCTCTTATATCACAGTCTGATTAGCATTTCAGTTAGGAATGAGTAATATTAAGCTGTGAACTCGTATACAGTTTCATTTTGGTTTTCTAAAATCCCGTGTCTGCATTGTAAATTTTTCAAGGTCAAAGGTCACAATTTTTTATCGTGATAATCTTTGTTTCTTTCATTCCAAATAACTGTCTCTGTCTATAACTTGTTCATAGATGATAACGTCCATCATCTGTGAAGAAATTAAAGAAAATTAAACACTTCACAAATTTTGTTCTAAACATTTATTATTTTGTGAACTTCATCGTTTTTGTGTTGAGCGGGCTTAAAGCGAGTACCACAGTAGTAAAATTTGAAGAATAATGCCATGTAAAAACGTTCAGAAAAAATATATGGCAAATTTAATTCACTATAATTTCTTAATAGATAGGTAACATCGATGGCATAATAAAAATAGAGATTATCGTACCAACTGATTAACTTTTTACTTTGATTAACTCATGTCTGCACGAGGTTTTATGAGACTTTTGGGACAACAATAAATTTGTATGCGAGTTTTCTCCTTATGTCTCATTCCGAGATTTGTCCCCTTTATGCTGATTTGACTGGGCTATTAATGTCGAAACTACCGTGTAAGACAGTGTGAATAAGGACGATGATATTTTTTTGTCTGTCCGTCATGTTGTTGAAGAGTTTTAAACACGTATTTTTTGCGTAACCAATAAATTACGGCGAAACATTGAGTTGAAAATGTCGCATGACGTAACGCCTTTGTAAATTTTCCACATAGTTATGACGTAACAAGCCCCCACTCTTCGCTTTAATGTCTATTATCTAAGCCAGTTCTTGTTCAATTAAAGCGAAGAAAAATACGTATCTAATATCTTTCTATTACCTGACTGACGGACTAAACAGATTTTCGTTTTTTTTACCCATGCATCATCTCTGTTAATTTGTTTATATGTCATATGAACTTCGGTAATGTAGTAGGAGGAATTTTAAAAAAGAATAATAGTCTTCTAATAGGTTTTGTTAGGTGGTGAATTTAAGATTTATTTTAACGCGTTAAAAATTTCGGCGCTAGGGGCGCTGTGCCTGTTACTATGCTAATATCTCAACGCGTTCATTTTGGGTCAACGATTATAATAATTTATATCAAATTTTACTTCGAACCTGTTCAGTTTTAGAGCAAATCTACTGTGACAGACAGTCCGTGATCATATAAGGATAACCCTTTTTCCTTTCGACGTACGGAACTCTAAGTAGAGTTCCAAAAAACAGTAACTTGAAAGTTACGGGGTAGACCCGCTGGTTGTTCCTAAATACCACTGCTAAATATGTGATTTCAAAATAACAGGGTGTAATGAATTATTTGACTGGTTTATGGTTGATCTACATAAGGCAGTATCGTCCCTTTTCCCTTCGCTCAGAACCGCCATTTGCTAGAGCGAGTATATCCTTTATACGGTGCTGCCTGATGTAGTCCAACCCTTAATTATAAAATATTATTATATTATCAGTAGATAGATATTGTTATAGAGAAAGTGATAATAAGTTGTAAGTAAGTATTGATTAGTAAGTACCAAATATACAAATAAGCCGCCTGGTCGTTTTTTAAACTCAAAGTAAATACATATCTCATTTCAATAACCAAATTTGTGAAATAGTTTAAGAGATTATAGACTGACAATGGTTATATACAAATGGTCATGCAAGTACTGCGTAAGCACCAAGTAAGAACGTTATTTCTTTGCTTGTTTTTGGAGTGCTGAGTCTGGATAGTGGATATGTCATCAATATTTATGTAGTATTTACTTTTTCTTCACAAAATTTAGTTTTTACAGATATAGTTTTATAATACGCGGCACGTGAGTTGTACCAAAATGACGACTTTCCATGCAGGAATCCCGATTTTCGATGTACTACGTTGCTATGGTTACGCGCTTCATCTCATCTCCGCACCTCGGTTGAGACCCGAAAATGTGCGATTGTGCAATCGTCATTTTAGTTTAACTTGCATGTCGCGCATTAGGTCAATGTTTATGCGAGCATGATCAGTGAGGGAAGAGTTTTACTGATTTCTGCTGTCACGTTTGGAAATTACGAAAGTATTATAATTCAATTTACGTAATATTTGATTGATCATGGGGAGAAGAATATATATTTCAAAAAATAGTTTCATATTAGTCGTGTCAAACTAGATTTTCTAGTTATTTGGAAGTACGTTTAAAGTACTGTCATGCATGACAGAAGACTTCGTAAATGGAACAACTTTTAAAATAATTTAATAAAAGTAAACGTTGCCATAGAATATAAAAAAGAAGTATATCGTATCGTAAGGTTTTGTGTCCTTAGTCTTATATGAACACGGGCCTGTAAAGAGTCCGAAACGTCAAACTAAATACAAACGCGATGAAACCGTTTAAAAGTTGTAACATTTATGGATAGGGCGCTTGTTAAATGTAAGAAATCTATAAAAGACTTCGTCTTGACGCGGCATTCTTAGGTATTCCGTGACTTAATTGTGTACGATTATGGGTGACAATAAACTGTTGACCATATTGTGCCAGTTTATATTTTATATTAATTCATTTTGGGGACAAAATTTCAACAAACTTTTTTATACAAATATTGAATACTTTGAACAAAGTTATACCGCTCTCTTATTCCATTAGACATAAAATTTATTTAGTTTTCACAATTTAATCATTATTTAACATGTTCTATGACAATAAATGCTGCCGCACAGCTACAATACGCGACTGATTGTCAAAACGTGGTCTGTATAGGCAAGCAACTGTCAAAACATGCTCACTAAACGCAAGCAACTGTCAAAACATGCTCACTAAACGCAAGCAACTGTCAAAACATGGTCACTAAACGCAAGCAACTGTCAAAACATGGTCACTAAACGCAAGCAACTGTCAAAACATGGTCACTAAACGCAAGCAACTGTCAAAATTGCTTACTAAACCCGAGCAATTGTTGAAACATGGTCACTAACAGTGCTATTAATAAACAAGACTTAGCATTAAAGTAAATTTACGCTGAGACTGCACTTAGTATTAGTCAAAATTCATATTATTAAACAGACTTAGCAAAGGTTAACCTAATACGAGGTTCTTCGGGATTAATATTTATTCCTAGAGTGGAGTAGGTTTGCTTATTATCTGTATAACATGAAGTTGGACTAATATTAAAATTACAATTTTAGCGCAAATTTACTCTGCCGCTAAACCTTGTTTATTAATAGCAATGCAAATGCGAGCGACTTTCAAGAACTAATAAATGAAAAAAAAACCCGCGTGCGGCTTGTGGTAACTTCTAGTGGCCGGGTTTTTTGTGGTTGTATGTGCGGCAACTGTATTCATTGTTATTAATATTTAATGGAAATACATTCTGTAGGTAATATAAACAACTTATGAAATGAAATTTATTTATTGTAAGTTTTGTCAGTGAACAGTACATCGGGTTATATTACACTACTAAATTTAGAATAGAATACAATAAAAATACGTGTATTGGCAAAATTAATTTCATTGTCATTTCTCATCAATGAATAAATGAATTTTAAACTTTCTTTCCTTGATATGCATTTGATGAAAGTCACTGAAAGATAAATAAGCGTATTATTTACAGCACATCACGTTTGTTTCACTAGTGAAAAGTCTAGGATCGAAGAATCTCCATAATGCAAGATTTGTTCACGCTATATTTTCGGAGTAAGAAATATTCACTTAACATTTATTGTATTATTATAAAACGAACACTAAACATAGTAACCGGTTTAAACCATTATACGACCAAAATAAGGCAATCGTCTAATATGTAGGCAGCAATAGCATATATCTTATGCTGATTTTCAGCTTCCCTAGGATGTAATCCTAGGATGTGTAAGATTATTTGGCAACACACTTCACATACACAATTTACATACAGTTTATAATAATAAACGATTATATTAAAAGAATAATTATAACTATAAGTTAAATTTTAAATAATCATTTCTCTAATTGTCTATATAATTTAGATATTTTTTATAACCCGATGTACTGCGAACATCATAGTCTTTATTGTATTTAATATATATAATAAATAGTAACACTATTTTCTTTATACGTAAATAAAACTGAATTTAATAATCATTTGTGGTTTTATTAATATATAGTACCTACATATAAATAATATTCGTAATACACATTTTAAATGTTCGAAAAATATTTTTTGTTAAATATATGTTTTATATAATGTTAGTTGAACCTGTTGCACGTTCTCAGACTTAATTTAAATCATTAAATGTCGCACCCATAAAGTTATTTTTAGCTCTATCTAAATAGACAAATGTTGTCATTAAATGTAAGTGCTGGAGTACTTTTCATCTTGATCTGCAGGCTTTTGAAAGCAATCACAAAAAATCAATTTCATACCGATCCCAATTAACATCAAATCTTAGCTCGTACTGTTGAAACATAGACTTGATATTTACTCAATGTGAATTAGGTAATTCATTATTCAGCTAATTGCTAAGCTAATAGCTAAAAGCTTATTGGCGCTAGTGTCCAAATCAAGAGTACAAATTAGTTGCAATTACAATGTCCATTAATAGCATTCAAGAGTAATAAATATGCTGATTCGAGTTTTACAATTCTGGTTCTTATTGTGGTTATATGTATATGTTTTGAGTAACAGTATAATATATAAAATTCGGCATCTTTCATGTGTCATTATTTCTTTATAATATTGGATAAGAGATTATGAATTTATGTCTTACTTTGTCCATGATTTTATTTTTAGAATTCAAACTAGACGCTTCGATAGAAGATCATAACTATCACTGCTATTCCGCACTGGACCCGCCTTGTAGGGCCCGTAGGTACCTATTGATTCTATAATAAGATTAAACTGCATCCCAGCAGTGGGCATATTGATAATAGAAATTCAATCGAATATAGAATTTGTTTTCCAAACGGTTAGATCGACGTACGGAATCGTAGCATAGTTATCGCAATGCTCTTTTGGGTTTGCGGGACTTTCCCTTTCGAATGCGTTCCGTTGCACGTAAATAACGTCAGTGTTGTCACAAATCAGACGAGCGATAGAAGCCTTTTTTAACTGCCGGAGTTGTTCTGGAAATAATACAATAATTATATTTGGATACATAAAAGAAATATAATTTAGGAACCTCACTATAAACTCACTTTTGGGACGTCACACAAAAACACATGGCCATTGTTAAATAAGATGTTCATAAAGGGTATCTAAATGTGGCCGTTAGTTGACGGTTAGCTTCCAAAATGAGCGAATACGGTCAGTGTAATTCATCACTCTTGTCGTTAAAGTAGTTCATGATAACAAATAATACAGATAAATTATCATATTTATTATATAATATTGATCCTACTGAGAGTTTTACGTACTACCGGCCTGTACAGTTTATATGCCAAAAATGTTATTATATTTAAACTGGTTAATGTATGATTAATAAACACCTATAGCTTGTTATATAGACTTTATATTAGTACAACAAATTTTAAACGTTCGTCCGGCTTTATAAAAGAGATGTAAGGTTATTAAATAAGTAAAGCCTTTTTCTCCAGCCTAATACAGCGCTGTCAGGCTTTTTTAATTCCGAAGGTGGAAACCCTAATCACTCTGGCGTAATTTACAATACTCACCAGTGGAGAAAGAATGTGGCATTTCACTATTATCGTAAAAGAACCTGTCTCCGACCCGCGTCCTGTAGAATTGTTCCGCCACTATGCACTGGAACGTGTGGCCGAGAGTCGAACCGTGCACCGCTTGCTCCATCACCCCGCCCACAAACAAATCTATGTCGTCTACGCACTCGTACAATTGCGATAGAGCATAGATGCGCTATAAAATAATGTATTTTTTTAAATTTATAATAGGCTCGCTCTTGACCTCAATCTAGCCCAAGGACATAGATGAGGTTTACAGTGCCTTGCCTTGAATAGGTATGTTTATATGCACTCGGGATTTATAGTGTCTATTATACTCGGGCGACTATAGACGTCAGCAAGCAGTTTCATTCCTTTGCAATGCGCAGTAAAAAAGATGAAGAATAACGCTTTGTGCGGCATCTTGGAATATCTACCAGAAGAGGATGGTATCCCGCACTACATCTCGTTTACCGATGGTGAAGACGGAATGAGCTTATGCAGCTCCTGAGCGCACTCCATAATATATCCATTACGAGTCAAACAACATTACACCGATGGCCCAGGACGGAGTCGATGATATATCATCATAAACCCATTAATTTCTACTTCGGCATTACCATCGTCAGAATATAACTTCAGACTTGCCATACACATCGAAAATAGTATCATCATCAGCTCCTTTGCGTCCTCACTGCAGGGGCTTATGCCTTCCTTATGGGTTGTTAAGGAGGGTGGGCCATGACCCTTCACGCTAGCCAGTTGTGGATTGTAGGATAGACTGCAAATGCAATCGCGACTTAACGTGCTTTCCGAAGCACGGAGTAGCTCGAGATAATAATCTTTTAGTCACCCATCCTGTGACCGACCCTTACAAACGCAACAGAGCTACTGAAATGCGTCGTACTAATATCCATGCAGTTTATTTGGTATTATTACTAATTTATATAAAAAAATAGTTAAAGTTAATACGCAAATGAGGTTTAATAGGCACTTACGTCCTGAGGTATCTCTCCACTTAAATCTTGAAACGTTTTAGCTCTACGCAAACCGCAAATCTCCCTGCAAAAAGTGTTAGTTTAGATCATCGCAATAACAGCTCGCTGTGTTGTGAGACAATTAAATAATTTCTGAAAAGAACCTGTGAAAAATATTATCATGAGTTGTGAAACTACGTATCATGTATCCAGCCAATGAGTGTGCCGGGTGACTTTCTTTTACATTTGTATACCTTTCCATTCGACGTCAAGAAAAATCACACCGAGATTACCATATTATGGGATATCCACTAAATTAATTAAACCGATTTATAATTTGATTTATAGCGACATCTATCTCATCGCGGTAACATCGCCACAACAATCGACAGCAAGACGGTAGCCTCAAATAAAGGAGATGGCGCTGCAATACTTGGAGAGCGCTTACTAGAAATACGATTACAGTCAACTGAATTACCTGAAATTGTTATAGGAGGCGATTCCATGGTCCCTGCCCCTCTGTATATCTATAGCGATGAGGTCTAGTCCCCATGCACGGCGTGTCTTGAACAGTAGATTGGTGACATCCCCGCTACAGTACGGATCCGCCTCAGAGCACACATGCGCCAGGGCACCGCGTACTATATCGTCGAAGGATTCCGACGAAGTTTCCAGAAGACTAGGATTTTGGAAATGGTCGCTAAGTCTGTAAAGAATTCTAAATAAAGTACCTAATTTGCCGATAACTTTTGCAAAACTCAAAAATGCATGTTAGAAATTATGTCTGCAGACCGTGGACCAAGAGTACGTGGATTATGAGAAGTTGAAACGAGAGAGCCATAAGTTAAGGGTTGTGTAGTTACTTATGCAGATAGGCGGTGTAGTAGTTAGAGGGACAGGTCATGATGGAGTCTGGTACTAGCGAGTGTAGCGAACGGAAGGCGGCAGTCGCGAAGCTGCTGATGATAGCAGCGTTCGCATCCGCATTATAGTCGTGACTGTACAATGAAGACGGTGAGATACGGTAGTAACGGAAGTAACTCTCGCCTGCAAATGAAGAAAAAACATAAAAAATAATGAACCAAATTATACTTATAGTTAGTCTGAGATTCAAATGCAGAAACTTGAAGTAATCAGTGACGATTACAAAGGTCTGTAGATGAAAATAAAATTGGTATAGTGCACAGTTTAAATGAATTATGGATTAAAAAACAGAATTATTGGTACCTAGACCTAGACAGTACCTATACTAACTGATATAATATAAAATTTTGGCCAACTTTAAACTGATCTTTACGAACGTTTTGGTAATCTTACCAAAGTTTAACGGAAGCCATTCCTGGTATGTGATATGTTGCAGTTCCGCTATCACGACTCTCCTAGCCTCCTGAAAGATTCTTTCGTCGCTCCACTGAGGATTCATTCCTTGTAGTATATCCGCGACGCGGTTGTGTTCCCGTAGAAGTAGAGTGTGCAGCATCGCCAACGTCGGAGTCTGGTTTATCCTGCCGTCGCCTGAAGGAAACCTCCATCAAATCGACCAAATCAACATGTAAGCTCACACCAAGCCACATTCTCAGTGCATCAAATAAATATATTAAACTCATCACTTACATCAAAAATATTCGACCTACGTGAGCAAAGTTGAACATTAAGTTTATCCTAAACTGAAATTATTTCCAAACGATATTGAATCCTAAATTATTGACACTACGTCCAATTTTTATTGCGGAAATCTGGCGTATTGTACATACCAAAGGTTCGTTAGATTATTTACATTGATGCTATATTAATAATAATCGAACCCTCTTATAGATCAAAATAAACATATGTTATTATTACAAAAAAATGCAACAAAATACATAATTATGTCTGTATAAATCCTATAAATACAAACTGATAACTCAATTTTTTACATCATTGATACTTCTGAATATATCTTAGGAGAAAAAACAGCGAGGGTGAATCGAAGTCAACTATATTGTTACAATGTATGATAGGTATTTCTATTTTAAGTTACCAGCTAAATAGCAAGGTTCCGACATATTTCGTAGAACGCAGCTTGCCGATTTGTCACTGACAGTGGGTAGGTAGCCTCTTTTAGCTTTTGTCTTGTACTCTTCACGGAGACGACCTTTCTTCTTGCTCCTTAACATTGATGCCTGCTTTTTGTCAGAACCGTAGATCTGAGAGCCATCCAGGTAGCTGCTTACCGCGTTCATCTAAAAAAGTCAATATAAATGCAAAATACGTGCTGCCATGCGTTTTACAAAATGTTTTACTTAAAGTTATACCTGTTCTGCATATCCCAAACTGCAATCGTCTCTTGGCGTGGTGACACTCCGGACTAAATTGAGGCACTTGATCCCGTAATAACCATAAAATGGATCGTCGTCGGGAACTTTAATGGGGATGCATTTATCGTTCTGCCATTCTGGAGGTAGCACGTCGCCACCTTCTCCAAGGCAGCATTGTATACCACCTTCATCTAGAAAGGATCATTGACTTTGTAATAATTTCAGTAGTTCTATAAGTTCACATTCTATTATGATTTTATTTTTTAAAACATACTAACAATTCTCCCAAAAACGAATGATCACCCTAACAAAGTAATAATTGATTCTTACTAAGTTTCGGGTCCATTATACATATTATAATTAGTGATTCTGTCACGTTTTTCTCACTTAAGGACGTATTCTGTCTCATTTGAGACATCTTTTGACTTTCTGAGTAAGTCTCAAGAAATAAAAGTTTTAAGTAAGTAGAGAAAACCCAAACATTGTTCTCAACTTATGCAATCCACAATCGCGTAACATTTTTCTGTTTTTCTTCAGCATGCAGTATAATAAATAGTAACACAAAGAATATATAACAAGATGTATGACTCGTACGAATTAACAGGACACCTGACGGCCTTCTGTTTGTCCTCGAATGAAAATTCGGAAAATTTGGAATCGTTCATTTTTGTTTCTAATAATATCCGCGAAGAGTATCTGTGTATCAGATGCAACGTCAGGTCTACCTCCGTTGCAACATAAATGATAGAAAAATGTATTTATTTGGGACGAAATTTCGTTTTCGGAGATATAGAATAGGCCTTCAGGTGGTCATGTTAATTCAGTAGTAGGTATAACTTTATGAGATCCAGAGCGAATATCTCCATGTCTTACCTGTGACCTCTGTCAAACGTTGCATCATATCATGGGTGACAAACTGTCCCCATTGCATGTTAAGATAGTTAAGGGAACTGCTCGGTATAGGTATATCAGGAAACAGACGCGTCGACAGTATTCGTGGATTTGGCAGTGGACGACCGCTCTTAGCTACTGGCATTGAGAAGATTCCTGAGAAGGAAAGAATTCAAAGTATTACAAAAGACCTACTGCACTTACTTGCAAGTTCAAAAATACCGTTTAATAAATTATTAAGTACCAAAACTCTGGAATTAACATGTGGCCTGTGTGGACTAATTAATAAATCAATCGTCTTCACTCGATTGTGATACAGATTTTTTGTTTTATTCTTTTTATCATGTATCGTTTAAAGTCGTACTCGCTTTAGGAACAAATTATTTGATTTCAATGACCAAGAGACAATTAAAACTTAGTAACTTAAACCTAAAGTAATATTTTCATCTAACGCCTGCTTTAGACAATTCCAATTAACGTTAAATTCACAACATCGTTCATTCAGTAACTTTACGCTATCACATGTAACTATCATAGTTGTGGCTTGAGATTCATGAATATCTTTCGAAACTCAAACAGAAAAGAATTGTGATCGTTTTAAACATTGAAAAATTAGGCCTCTCGTTAATTCCAAGTGAACGTGAGGCAGGGACTTCGTACGTTCTCTCATTTGGTATACAAACTTCCATAAAACGAGTGATTTCTTATCAATAACAAAAAATGGTACAAGATTAAGGAAATATAGCTAAGATAGAGAAAACGATCGATGGGCAGAGTAACAGAAATCTGTAAGCGACATTAATCGATATCTCTAATAGACACCGTTTTTTTTTACCGTTGATCAGAACCGAAATAATTTAGATCCAAATAACGGAAACCTAGATGAAAACGTTCTCAAAATTAAATTAGTATAGAGTGTCTAAATTTAATCGGTTTATAGGTGCCCTCAGGGCTCAGACATGTTCGTGGATTCGAAGACTTCACCATTACCTACATTTACAAAAATACGGCCTTCTGTCATACAATGAAAAATAAATGTAAATACATAAGCATGACATACTTAGGAACATGACAGTTTGTTCTTGTTAACAACTATGTACCTATTATGCAATGACCTATTTCTTGGTTTTAAAGCGTTAAAAAAAAACAAAACACGAGATGCGCTATAGACGACAAATAAATTTAAATATTAGACAACCTCACATGCATTACTCAAATTCCAAATTAAGTCTATTATGGAAATCTGAAATAATACAGATAAGTTCATTTTCTACATTGAGCCGACCGGAAATCGAACATGGGATCTCAGAGGTGGTGTCACCTTGAAACCAGCCTGCATGCCACTTGCTAACGGAGGAGGCAATAGCAAGTACCTACTACGTTTTATTCAGCCAAACAAAACTAATAGGTACGTTTATTATAGCCTCATACCATATATGTATGCCACATATATTTGCGGTTAATGCTATAGTATTATACTGTGGCACATCTGTTTAATAATCTTTGTCGTTTCACTATGTGGCGATGTAATCTGTGACATTTGTAATATAACAATAATGCATTTGTAAGTCGTCGTTCAACATTAAAACGTTTATTCATTTTACCGACCCTTCGTATAAACATTCATACCATTAAGTTATATATCACCCTATATACCAATAAATAAATATCCAAAATAATATAGTTAAGTTTTGTACTGGGCATACCCTTTAAGTTTTGTACAAAAATTACTGGTTGACTGGTAGATAATGCCTCTTTGGCATTGAGTCGGCCATTTCACTATTTCACTAGGCAATAAAGATTGAATAATACATATACAGTAAAATATGTATAGGTGCACTGCTTAATAAAAATAAAAAAAAAAATCTAACTATGTTTATAATCTTACAAAATTACTGAGACGACCATGAGAATTCTTTACCCTACGCGAAGCTACATTATACGTGGGTGACATAAACTATAATATACACGAGTAAAGTCGCGGTAAAACAGCTAGTACTTGCATAAAATTACTTTTCCTAGAATAAGTGTGTTCTTTTGATTTCGTCAATATGTTGTAAATTACCTATTGACTTGTTTTTTCTTAAAAAATATTAATATTTTCCTCTTGTTTTGATCTACTCACGCCGAAGTATTATTATTTTCATAGTGTAGATACACATGCCCAATTGAGGTTACCGTTGAACCAACCTAGTATATCAGTTATGACGCCGATAGCAATAATCTATGCGATAAAGTACGAACCCTATCTAAATAAGGACAACGATTATCTTCTATTAGATTATGTTAGACTTCCTAACGTGTACATTTTAGTCAATACCACCATGTAAATACATTTACATTCCAACTAAATGGTAAACTGTTTAATAATAATGGATATTTTAGCGAATAGGCATGATGACTGGTTAAAAAAAACTATTTAGTCCGTTAGTCGGATTATAGAAAAATCTTAGATACGTATTTTTGTTACTTGACTTTAACAAGAAATGGCAAAGATTATAGGCATGAAAGTTGAGAAGTGGGGGGCTGCTACGTCACAACTGTGTGTCGTCACAAAATGTACAATGGTGTGTCGTACGACATTCCAACTCAATGTATCTCCGTAATTATTGATATTGCAAAAAAAATACCTACGTGTTTAATATTCTTCAATAATCAGATTACTAAACAAAAATTAGTTATCATCCATATGTTTTCGTCACTTGGGCTCGTGTAGGCTAAGGCTAAGATAAGGTGAATGGCATATTTCGTAGATAAAACCATGATAAGTTATATTAAACTGTAGAAGTTATTAAATCGACTGTAAAACATAAACTTGTTGACATTTCAGTTCAAAGTAAATTACTTCCTCAGTTCAAAATACAGTTGTTCCGAGCATGTCTGTTTCACCTCATCAAATTATCAAAATCGCTTATTATCCATGAATTTTATGAACTTAGAAAGATACTTTGAACGTTGTTGCACATACGTCCATTGAAATTTTCATTAGTTTAATGCAATTTGACATTCATTAGAGCTTAATGGCGTTATTAAACATTTAATGGACGTTTGTGCATTGACCGATAGTGATTGAGTCAAAACACGATCGCGCGGCAAGACGTCTCCTTGTTGTATACGCGCATCGCTTACAATGAGGTGTCAAAATATAATAAATAACCTGAAATACCTCAAAATCACCGTATAGTACAAGCAACAACACGTCAAGTAATAATATCTCCATTGCATTTTAAACCATATAGAGTTCATAATCAATTGTGGAATTTTGACATATTGTGGTAACCTTATTTGCAACCGTTTGTACGTCAGCTGTCGTAATTATAATCTACTAGCTGACCCGACAGACTTCGTCCTGTCAAAAAGATTTGTAATGTGGCAGTTTTTTTGCCTACGTATTTAAAAAAATTCTCCTGAACAGAACCGTCACCCTGGTGATAGGGCGTTGTGAATAAAAAATAATTAAATAAAACATATATAAGGATTTAAAAGTAAGTAATCGCTTTATTGTTAATCATGTGAATCATAATTATTATTGCAATGTATTAATAATAGTAATAGTATTAAATATAGAAAAAAGAGATTTTTATGATCATAAAAACACATTACACACAACAACATTATAAAAGTAAACTATTCGAATTAAAAAAAAAAATATAAACATTCTCAAGGAAAAATGCTGGAAGAATCCATCTACCTGTACCCCGGAATGGGACTCGAACCCATTCGCGATCCAGGGACTGCTCTAACCAATGAGCTATCTAGGACCCAACAGCTTTGCTACTACAGAGCGTATTTTCATCAATGTTCCGGCAATACATGTAATGACGTGGAAACTGATGCATTTTATCTCGCGTGCCGAAACTAATACAAAAGAAACGCGAGTTTCGGAACGCGACATTAAACTCCTCCAACTATGTATTCTGTGCTCCAACGCTCACACGCACATTGTTTTGATAGATATGATCTTTGACGTTAGGAACACACCTACATTGCTTAGACAACAGTGAGTGCTTGTAATTTAATATGAACTTTATACCATAGCAATAAAGCTCAAATTGACTACATTTTAGTTACAAATCATTTGTATGGGAAAAAGAAAAGGGCTATTTTTAGGGTTTTTCCAGCAATAATTCTAATTTTTCTCGCCGTAAAAACCATCCTTGAACTTCAACGAACATTTTAAAAAAAGATTTGGCCAAATTGGTCGAGGCGTTGTTGAGTTATGCGCTTACCAACACATTTTGCGATTCATTTTTATATATATAGATTATCGAAGTAAGTTACTTCCTCAGTTCACATACACAGACATATTCTATTAAAGAATCGCAAGACTGTTTCTGTCTCACTCTCATGACTGCCTTTTGATTTCGTCATTTTTCTTTGTCTCCAAGAGCTTCATGTTAAATTAAAATAAAACGCACCATCAGCATACCGTGGCGGGGCGATCCTCGTGAAGGGCGCCCCCTTTCTCCCCCAGCCAGGCTTCTGCAAGTTATTGCAGGTGCCGTCGAAGCTCCGGTACTTTTCCCTGCTGCACCTGATGCTCACCGGCTTGCAGGATACCCCATCCGCTTTTATCACTTGGTGCTCGAGGAACGACATGAAAGTATTAGGAGTCACATCAGAACTGCAATTAACAGTATTTCGTCAAATGTCATTTGCGTATGACGTATCTTCCCATAGGCAAACAAACAATCAAACAATCAAACAATCAAATGTATATTATTAAATAACTGTTTTTGAATTGATCGAACACTTTCATTTATCATTATCAATGCATATTTAAAAGATTGTGCATCATTATGATCCTTCGAGCCGGATATATAAAATAAGATGGTAATCATAATTTAATTTATAAAGAGGAAGAATATCGTTCTACAGGTCAATTCTGCTAATTTTAGATAATAGTAGCTTCTTAATAGAATATCAACTACTTGCATTTGTCTTGTACTATATACCTGAAGTCCAATATTTAACTAGAATTGCTGAACAATTGTACTAGTAGTTTACCTCGACGATCTCTCTGACGCGACTCTAAAGGAATCGCAAGATCTTTTGAATTTGAACTCCTTACAATGTCATGGCAATAGTCGCGTGCTTGCGTCAGCTATTCGGATTGCGAAATTGCAATAACTAAGGTCCCTCCTGTTTAGTTATTAATAGTTTCAGTGTAGTTGTGTAATGACCGTCTTGTGTTCGAGTTAATTGCGTTACCTACGTTCGGGTTTTCTGACGTCTCTGGTTCGATTCTTAGCTGGGTTTATTTTTTTATTGTTTTGGAGTAGAGGTAGTTACAGTACCTTTTTTCGGAATTTAGATCGGATGTATGTCAAGTTGTCAAAATTTTTTTTTTCTTATAATACTGATTAAAATTAAGTAAAATGTAGTATAGATTACAGGTAAGGATATTATTTTACACAACAATAGATGATTTAAATATGACCATACGACAATCTATCTTTATAAGTAACTAGCTGACCCGCCAGACTTCGTCCTGTCAAAAAGCCTACATTGCTTAGACAACAGTGAGTGCTTGTAATTTAATATGAACTTTATACCATAGCAATAAAGCTCAAATTGACTACGTTTTAGTTACAAATCATTTGTATGGGAAAAAGAAAAGGGCTATTTTTAGGGATTTTCCAGCAATAATTCTAATTTTTCTCGCCGTAAAAACCATCCTTGAACTTCAACGAACATTTTAAAAAAAGATTTGGCCAAATTGGTCGAGGCGTTGTTGAGTTATGCGCTTACCAACACATTTTGCGATTCATTTTTATATATAAGAATATTTTAAAGAAACACAGTGTTTTTTCGGAATTAGATTACTTTATGACAGTATTTAGGTGAGTAATAAATCTTCGAACAATATGTAACTAATACTTCCATATTTTAGGTACATATACATTGATGATATAGACAATAAACTAGTTAATAATGATTCATTTAAATGTAATATTAAGACATTAATGTAAAGAAAAAGTATTTTGAAGTAGTTTAAGAAAACAAGAATACTTCATTATACCGCTTGTCTCAAAAACCATTGGAGCAATAATTTTTAACAGAAAATAAAACTCTTTCAACAGATCTATAAAAACATAGTTTATTTTAAAACAGCCACCTGTCTTTAAATAATAAATCTTGTTTATTATTATCAGCTCTTGATTCAGAAAAGTGTGGTCGCCATTTTGTAAAAAAAAATGCCAGCCCGGTTGGTATCTAAAATATTTAAGCCCTTCAATTGAATACAATACATTTATTTAATACTCGCTAAGTGTAAAGTGTGTAGGCAAGGTCGCTTAGAATTACATCATACTTTTACTTGTTTTTTTACTGTCGTACTACAACATTAATTGTGTTTTTGCATAAACACAATATTTATATACGATATGTTCTTGTGCAGTTTCTAATAAAATCTGTTTATCACAATTTAATTTATTTATAGATAATATTTAGTAGAAACCGTATGATCTATTTTTATTGAAAAGTGTGGTATAGAATTAGGTAATTAAAGTGTGTAAGTATTTCCAATATTGAGTTGTATAACTGTTAAGTGTAATAACAATATAATGCGTCATAGAATAGAAATAGGAGAAAATTAAAGAATAAATATTTGAAAAATCTGGCTGGGAGATGGCATTTTAATCGAAGATTAAATAAAATGGGCAGTTTTAATATCGATAAAAGATAACATAGGTATAATTAAATTTATAGTGTAAACAATTACAGCGGCTTAAAATGTATCCACCCTCCGATTTCCTTATGAGGCAAAATTATCTAAATTAAAGTGTAAAGATCGTTTTGAAATAATAGTGCTGAATTTTGTATCTACGTTGCTGTCTCGTATGACACGTTTTCTCTGTCAATTGTTGTGCCAAAATGATTCGTTTATAATTCTCTCCGCGAGCTGCTGTAACTGTTTCTAAGAATATAAACCAATTTTGCTGAAGTCAGTACTTGTAAACACGGACTTAAGCAAAATGTGTAAAATTTTAACTTATGAAATTAGAATTTGATTTTCAATTTCGCTAAATTTTGAGTTTAGACGATGGTTATTAAAAGTGCACAATGTTACCCTACTTATAGTATCAAATCCTTCATGTTATAATAACGCAACAGATCGTTACTATATGTGTAAATTAATAAATCAACAGATTAATTAAATATAAAAATAAAAAACTTAGAGACTTAATAAAAAAAAACAATAACCTAAGAGTTTGGAACTGCGAATTTGAGCAGCACCGCGCATACGCTTCCTTGAAAATAAAAATTGTAAATCCGCTGTTTTTTATTTTTTACCGGACCTAAAAATAGTTTTCGTATTAATCCATACTAATATTACAGTGTATAAAAAATCTATACACTGTTCTTATATAATATAAGAAGAATGCGAAAGCAACTCTTTCTTTTTGTGTGTATGTTACGTTGTCACGCTTAAACACTGAATAAATACTAATAAAGTTTGGTACATAAATAGAGTGGACCTATATACATATATATAGATATATTGCAAAAAAAATCACGCGGGCGGAGTCCCAGTCGGATTTAAATATAAATGTTAAGAGAACTACTCAACAACTAAGTATATTCTGTGAAACAATTGCACGCTATCACCAGAACGTATTAAGTACTAGCTTTCGCCAGCGGCTTCGCCCGCGTGGACCCTAGGGAAATGTTTAGTGGGATAAAACGTATCCTATTATCTAAGGCAACTAACACCCTATATGTATACCAAATTTCATCAAAATCCGTTCAGTAGTTTCGGCGTGATTAACGTACAAACATCCATCCATCATCTAAACATCCAAACAAAGAAGCTTTCACATTTATAATATTAATAGGATTATAAGTTATAAGTATTTTATACGTTCTGGTGATAGCGTGCACTTATTAGTCAAATAAGTACCCTAACACTTGAAACTTTCAACGACCGAGTTCCACTCGAACTTTCTGTATAACTTGAGTATAATAAAGTGTAATTTTAAGTGACCAATAGAAGGGCCGAAAATAGATTATTTTATTTATGTATCTAAACTAATAATATATAAATAATGGATTGTTTGTTTGCTTTGAATAGCCTCCAAAACTATTGTACCGATTTCAAAAGATATTTCAGCTACATCATACGCAGGACACAGATTATAATTTACGCGGGCGAAATAGATAACAGTGTATTTTACTCAAACACTTATTACCGCCCTTTCAGCGCGTCTCCGGACTAATAAGACGGACGCAAAATTACATCTAAATAAACCTATGTAATTTACAAATCAACTTCAATTTTAACTAATATTAAATATTTGTTAACACATAATAATTTAAGAAGATGGTTGTTACTAGTCAATAGTGTCACGTTCTTCGACAAGTGAGAACAAAGCAAAGGCTATGCGCTATTACAATATTTATCATAGACACTTTCTTGACCTAAGATTTGTAATAAATGCTAATAATAAATGGTTACCTATCAACGTGCTAACTAATAATTTTGTAACTCATTACATTACCAAAGCCAACACCCGTTTTCACTAACAACAAGGCATTATTATCAGATTAGTTTAATTTAATTCAATAATCATTCATTCAATAATAAATATGTCAAGGGATAAAAGACAAAATCAATGACCTGTCATATACACAAATGCCTAGCGCAAGGCACCGCATAACGAATATCTGTTAGAATGGGCAGTATAGTATACTTCCATAGCCTTAGTAAAACATTGAAGTGTCAATGTGACTTATTAATTGAAGTATCAAAACGTTTGTTTGGTTTATTCTCTCTCTCTTCCTCACGGCCATCTTACTCGAGAAGTTGTATTGTATTATTTTATTTAATCTAATTCGATCAGTTCACGTATATAAATTATGTGTTATATTGTTCGCAATATTGTTGATACAATACATAGCGGATAATCTCATTCTGTGATTTTATTTCTATTCCAAAGAAAACAACTGCACACACGTTCTGCTACAATATCTAACTTAAGACATTGCTTAATTTCGTTAGGTGGTTCCTAGTCAATATATTTGTATGTGGATCCTAGGCATAAGGTTTATAACTATTTAGGAATCGCCTTAGGTAAAAATGCATTTCACCAATGTCTAGTAACCACCTAACAGATTGAGCAATATCTAAAGTTATGGCAAGCGGTATGCGGTGCCTTACGCTAGGCACTTGCGTAATATGACAGATCACAAAGGTGTCAATGGATAAAAAAAATTTAAAAAATGATATTTGAAATAAAACTAACTTGCTAAATCGAATCATAAGATTAAAAGTTTCCAAGTTAAGCTATATCTTGTTCTAGGTTAGAGAAAACGGGTGTTAGTCCCTTTGAGATAAACCTAGCTTAAAAAAACACACCAACCTTATAAAAATAATAGAATGTAATAGAAGTAATTTACCTGGAGCACATTTTCATTTGTAACAGCTTTGTCGCAGCTAGCATCTCGTGAGATGCTTGAGAGGCCTTCTTCACGTCAGGAGGTAGAGGAGCATAGAAGAAGAGTGACAGAGACGGAGAATAAGAGGCCAAAGAAGCACCGGCCTTCACTAGCTGGTTGCCGCGACTGCTCGCAGACTTACTGATATCACGGCCGCATTT